CACATAGCTCACATAACCTTGAACTCACACGAGTAGTAGGATATCCCGCACTAGAGTATCCCACGACTCGTCCAGTACCAAGCAACTCATAGGATCAAATAAGTAGTAGGGTAACTCACACTGGAGTACCCCACTACCCTTCAATACTCAGTCATGCTAGTTTCGAACAAGTAGTAGGGCGACCCTCACTAGTGTGCTCTACTACCCTTCAGACTAATCAGATTGAGATCAAACAACTAATAGGACGACCCTCACTGGATCCTCCTACTACCGGTTTGGTTTCAAGCAAGTGACCCTTATCAACAACATACATGTGGGCAAATAATATGATAACTCTCACGAGTGCATCTCATTATTTGTCTCTCATTGAACATTGTACATACAAGTGAATATAAGCGGTAGGACGGCTCACACTGGAGTCTTCATCTTATCACTTTTCCACAATGTTAAGCAAAGTTAGCAAATTATGTTCTTTCTCGGTGCGTTTAACGTTCCTTCCTCCCTTCAGGCAAAGTTTTTTTACACAACACATAATTCTTTCACTTTATCGATGCTTTGTCCTAAAAAAAATCAAGAACATATATGGCACATAGTCAGACAAACAGCCTGATAAAGGATCGTACTTATAAGTGTCTACAGAAAAAAAAATTGTGTGCGCACCTCATGGTTTTCTGCCTCTAGAGTTCCTCCTGAACTCTAGCAGAGCTCCCACAATCGATGGGCAGTCTGAGGTCCCGCTTAATATAGTCTTTGCACCGTTTAGTCAAAGCGAGGCTCCACCAGTGTTTTTCCCTCAAAGAAGTTTTTCAAACAGTAAGACAGGGTTGGAGAAGAATAGAATACTCAGACTCTCAAGATGGGCGAGGGTCGCTCAAGCTCTGTTAGAGGAGGCCCTGAACAGTTTCCCTATCATGATGGCGATGCAACAATAGTCAAATGCTTTAAAGTCGTGCTTGAAGCTTGCACTCTTTATCGTGTTTTTTTTTTCACCTCTTTCGTCACCTTCTTCTTTTTCATTATTTATCCCCCCTCTCCCTTCTTCTTTTCCCTTTTGTCTTCTTCCTCTTCTCTTTCTTCTACCTTCTCCTTCCATCCTTCTGTCCTCCCATCTAAATGACCCTACATTTGGACTTGTTGCAGGGCAGTGCGTGTGAACCCAGTCATGGTTCTAGTCAAGCACAAGGTTCACATGCATGTATTTGATTGTGTTGGCAATTATATCCAAACAAACGATCCAGGCAAGGGAATAACAATAATAATAATAAATTAATAACAATACTACTACTACTACTACTACTACTATTAATAATAATAATAATGCAAGGAAATTGATCGAGCAATATAAACAAAACAACAAACTGGAACATCATATTGTAGACCAAATAGTCGTATACGGTGTACCAAGCAAAAAAAAAAAATGCACTAAGTTATAAGTCAAATAAGAGCAATGCAATGAACTTTCATGTCCATATCTGCCCAAGCTCGTCATCATCAACAATGTATCCAATGTCACTCTTCTCTTTAGCGCCCAGTGTCCAACTCACTACTTAGCCTATCTAGCCTATCTACGTTCACACAACAAGATCACATTAACTTCGGAGACCGATGCATGACATCACCATCAATGCAGACCGCTAGCATACACCAGGTACGTTTTTCTTTCCTACTACCTCCAAGCAAAAGTCTATCATCGTCATCACCTCGCTTGCGCCCAACAGCCTCGCGTTGGGCCAAAGTGTTTGTGTCATGGGCCCTTCAGACAGTTATTAGGGTCCGTAGCATCAGGTATGCAGGCTCCAAGTGTTTTCTGCGATCTCAATGGCTCATGGCATTGTGTGACGACGAAACTGCTTTCTCATTGGTCTGCGGCCGATACGTGACTTGACGGCCTCTGAATGCATGTGCCCATGACCTCAACCGAATGAGCCATGGGCTCAACTGTATGACACAGATGTTGCTTCTAGAAGGAGTCAAAGATGGCTCACGTTGCTTTGTAACCAACTGACGTGCGGCAGCTGTCTAATACCCCAAATACGAAAAATGGTGAAATAGGCATCATGCAAATATGCAGGCCCGCCTTCACTTAGGGTGGGCACGAGGCTTGCTGGTGCTTGAGCCTTGAACATCTGTGTGCCCGAAAAGGGCCTTCTGAGGGCTCGTTCCTCGCATAACTAATAAAACTAAATAAATAAAAAAACAAAAACAGATACTTGACGTGCATATCAATGAAGTGATAGTTGATGAAACCTTATACACTCCCTAGCAAGTTCGACCCCTACGATTACCATTCAAGCCAAGTAAGCTCACGGCCTCCTCTCACTTTTATGCCTTATTCTCCCTATTCTCATTTTTTTTTATGCTTATTCATTATCTTATTTACCCAAACACATCTCATAGGAAGTTCGTTGCTCATATATAACACGGCCCAAAAACAACCATTTCGTCAAAACGGACATATTATATTTTTTGAACGAAATTAAAATTGGGTTTTGGGGACGAAATTCGGTCCAAAATTTTGGCTCCTGGGATTCCGGCGTTCCTAGAACGTCGGACCGCCTAGATGTATCTAGTCTCAAGCTGCAACCAGATACATCTAGGGGGTCTGACGTTCTAGGAACGCCGGACCCCCAAGAGCCAAAAATTCGGACCAGATTTCGGCCCAAAAACTCAATTTTAATTTCGTTCAAAAAATATAATATGTTCGTCTTGACGAAATGGTTGTTCAAATGTATGTACCTGGCCACATGGACTTGCCATATACCTGCTACCCGAAGTGTGTATGGTTGTCTATGCAGTCCGGTCTAATTAAGGAATTTGAAAAAAGAAATAGTGGGTGATATTTTGAGCAACCTTCCCTCTCGCTCCTCCGTCATCTACAACATCTTCCCCACCTTTACTCTCTTTCCCGTTTGACTTTCGATGTACCGCATGTATACAAGCTAACTTTTCGGTCCGATAAAGTCATACTAAGGATGCATTACGCTCAGCGAAGGGTGGTCAGTACCCTGCTACGCCGACTCGACATGCTTCTTATCGAGGTAAGTGCCCCTTCTTCATCAATCCTTCTTTATCCTCCTTCGCATTCCCTAAACTATCACAATCCTGAACAGAAGAGAGGTGATGAAAGGGATGATAAACCCAATGACGGTCGAGGCAATGAAGACTACTATCGGACATCAAGTGTTAATGCATATGGTCGAAATGATGGGTTGAGATGAGCGGCAGAGCGCAAGCAATTCATTCTATGTATCCAACATGAAGCAAAACGACATATGATCTTACTCACATCACGGGTGAATCTTGCAGACTGTTGGTTCATACCACTTGCTGAGCAATCGAGTCACTTTCATGGTCACCTTGCATTATCAAAACACAAATATTACAAACAGAGTGGCCTGCCTTTTTCATTCACAACTTTTCCCGATGTTTCTGACCAGGATCGCGGTCAGAATGTTTAAAACAAGTAAAAAATAATAACAAAAAAATATGTACATGTTCATTTTCCGACTTCAAGTCCTCTTCTCCTGGTCGTTCTTCTTTTCTCCTTCGTTCTCATTTTCCTATCTCTTCTCACGATCTTCGTCCTCCTCCTCCTCCTTCTTCTTCTTCTTCCTTCTTCTACGCTATTCTCCTTTTTCACGATTGTCTCATAGTCGTTGTCGTCTCCCTCACCATCTACTCCCTCAAGCACTACTCCCGTGGTAATTCCTCTTTCTTGGCAGTTTCGACCCTATGTCTTTCTTCACAGACGCTTGTCTTCTTTATCTCACTGTACCCGTCTTTCTCTTATCCACTCGACATGCTGGTCTTCCTCCTTTGCATATTCGCTGCCTCTATCTTCGTGGTAGGTCTCTCATTTTATCCGCTATAAGTCTTATTGTTCCCATAGGTCTCCTGTCGTTCCCCACATGCGTGTTTTACACTTTACCTGCGTTCGCGCATTTTTCCTTCTCCAATCTCATTTGCCTGCTTCCTCCTCTGCGTGATTACCTTCTTCCTCGATCCCGTTTCTCTCTACCGCCGCCACGGACCCCGTTTCCTTTTTTCCCTACCTCAAACGTACTTAGTCATATTCATGACTAATCTTAAAACATGACAGTAGCATAAATAATAATAATAATCTACGTTACCAACTGTCCGATGGGGAGACGTCTCCCGGGACGTCTCCAGGAGACGGTCGGGGGGAGTTGTCCGGGATTCCAGACAACGGCTTTTTCGCCCCCCGCCCCCCCCCCCAAAAAAAAAAGTGGGGGGGTTCTGCGCACTGCCAGGGGACCCCGCCAAAAACATTTGAGAGCATTCTGAGCAAAAATAAAAATAAAAATAAATAAAAATAGAAACAGG